GGGGCATGGTTTAAAGGTGAGACAGAAAGTTTACCATTTTAAAGTACATTTAAGATAAAATGAGAAGATTGATATTAATCTCATGTCTGTGTTAAAGATGGCCTGTGGAGTTTACTTGTAAACAAACTACAGTTATATTCACACTCTCTACTACTCACTTAAACACATTGTGTGTATCCCTGAGGTGTGAAGTGCTTCTATTCTTATAAAACATTTACAAAAAGATGGCTTTTCTTGTTGAATGCATATGAACAAAAAATGAATATTATTAGTTTTTTTTTAGGGTTAGTTGTATGTTGGAAGTATGTTTTGCAAATCTCAGTTCCATGTATAATTACTCAATGTTAAAAGCAACCTGACTATGAAATGAATCTCAGTTTACAGTGATGTTCATAGGACTTGCAAGTTTTATACATGCTAGCTGTCTTTTGTTATATAATCTGTTTTTAGAATCTCACTGACTATATGCAGATGAATTCTTAATTATCGTCTCGTTGAAAGCTACTAAGTCTTTTGACGACAATGGCAGCTGCAGTACGAGCAGCACTTTCACATTACCAGTAGTCATTTAAATCATTGTTAATGTAAAATAATGCCCATTATTTGATTGTTAAGGACTAAATGCATTAGTACCAATCCTCTAGCTTCTAATTTTTCAGTGCTTCTAGTTAGATGGAAAATAATACCCCTGGTCCTCTATGACCTAGTAGAGGACAAGCTGAGAGTAAAATTTGAATAGTGTTAAAGTAAAATTGTTCTTGAAAGCCTAATTCTCAATTACTGTCAGTCGTATCCCTCTTACAATCCTCGGTATTGTTCAAAATAAATTACTATTCCAAGCATTTTGTTGAAAATGCTGATATGCATCGTGAGCCTGTGGACAGTGGCCAAAATCTTAGGAACCATTAGTTATTGTTTTATTAAAGGCCCAGTGAATGTTGGGCTAATCTCCAGTCACACTCGACTCTTAAAAATAAAATGTGGGGTTAGAATGAATGAGAGTATTTGATAGAAGAAGAAAATACAAGCTTTCTGGGACATGTCATGTTTTTAATTTGAGCACTAAATTTAGAAATTTTATACTGAGGACACTGACACAGGATTAGCTGGTGTCCACAGGGTAAATAACACTATTGGATATGGAAGCACAGTAATTAACTCACTCCAAATTTAATTGGGTCAAATCATCCTTTATATATCCAGAATTTGTTTTGGCCAATAATTGTTGAAGATTATTTTTTCTTTATTTAATCCTGTCGGCCCTGTGCTCGCAAATTGTCCCAGTTTTATGGGACTATTTTCCCCAAACATCCTACAACCCATATTTTGAAAACCACAAATGTGAAATAAGACCACCAAGTGGCAGTGTTGCTCACAAATACACTGTAATGTATACCACATACAGGAAAAGGAGAGAGCTAATTGAGCATTAGAGGTGAGCATTTGCCATACATTTTCTATTATTGAGGTTAAGTTTATTTACAGAAAAAATAATGAATATCTGATAAATTAATTTGATGAAGTTACAGTTAATTTTACGTGCATTTTTCATAGTATACATGCAGCGAAGGCTCTGTAATTTTGGATTAGTTATATACAAAAAATACATAAGATTTTAGTTAATTAGTTAATAAGTTTCTTGTTTAAATGTGAAAGGCAAACAAAGCACAACATTATCAGCAGCCCACTAATACCTCAGGGTAACATGTACAGTGGTAGTATTAATTCACTTCTGGAATTACCCTGGAGTCAGTTCATTGGCTGGTAAACTGCAAACATCCTCTTTGTTTGATATTGGTTATTAAAGTTTTGGCATGAAATTCAAAATTTGGGTTTGTCTCATTTAATGAAACAGTTTTAATTGTGTGCTTTTAAATCAAAGGCTAGCTTATTGTAATGTTGATATGTAAATTAAGTACTAATAAAGGTTTATATTAAGGGGTCACTGCATCAATTTTACAGGTCGAAGTGAAACTACTTGTCATAGGGAGTACTACAGTTGTGAAAACACTTATATAATGTGTTCTGTGGCTCAGTGGGGAGCTTTGTCAGGTCTGAGAAAATTCCTCAAGTGATATAACCAGAGTATCTACAAATGTGAAACAGAAAGTTTCTGCATTCACCTTAACATCCAGGTTATAATTAAAAGTGGGAAGGTCCAATATACAGTATCGGTCTTGTTGCATAATAAAATGTATGTGTCTGAAAACTAAACAAACATGGATGCTTCATGTGAGATAAAGTCTCTCCAGGTAATTAAACCCAAATATAATGGATATAGTGTTAAATTTTCAACACAATTATTTTAACACCAACGCAGCCAACTGTGTTAATCATGCAGCTGTCTTGGGTTCTCCAATAATGTGAACACTTGCAAGTCATTAACATGGGAATCTTTCCCATCTCAACCATCCACACCATATGACACAAACACACCAGAATGAAAGATACTCTCAGCTTGCTTGACTGGAAGTGTAGGATCCAGTGCAGTTTAGCAATACTGGGGACTAAAAATGCTCGGCATCGATTTTTTACCTTTTTAACGAATCTGTTTCCCACCTAATGAAAGTGCAGTACTACATTGCTGGAGTACTCTTTCAATACTTTGTACTTCTGTCACACAGGTATTCTGATTCCTCTGTGTGAATCGGGGACATGTACTCTCAGGGAAGCCATCATCATCGGGAGCATACTCACAAAGTGCTCAATCCCTGTGCTCCACTCCAGGTAAGGTCTGCTTTCACTGACAGACGCCAGCAGACAGATGTCAGCAACTTAGCCTTAGATGAAGGATTCAACCAGTTGTCTTTGAAAGCTTTATATTCTGCGATGTTGGCAAGTTAAAGCAAAGTCAAGGTTGCATAACACAGACGGTTGTATAATATGCACAATCTTTGTCTTTCAGCGCTGCGATGCTTAAGTTGGCAGAGATGGAGTATAACGGTGCCAACAGCATTTTCCTGCGTCTCTTGCTTGACAAGAAATACGCCCTGCCTTTCCGTGTCCTAGATGCCTTGGTGGCCCACTTCCTGTCCTTCCGCAATGAAAAACGTGTGCTTCCTGTGCTGTGGCATCAGAGTTTACTCACCCTGGCTCAGCGCTACAAAGCTGACCTGGCCTCTGAACAGAAGACGGCACTGCTGGAGCTGCTAAAGATACAAACACACCCTCAGATATCTGCAGAGATTCGCCGAGAACTGCAAAACTCAGAATCAAGGGATATTGAAATTGGGCTCCCTGTTACAGTGGAAATGGATTGAGGATTCAGTCTGGTCTGTTCTTCTGCTTGGATGAGTTCAGTAGTGATGTAGATGTTGTAATTTCATATCATGAATCTCTGAGCTTTTTTCCTGCCATTGCAGTGCAGTGATTGCTTAGAAATACAAAGACTGGTATTTGTGTACATTTGATTACATTTTAATGCAAAAAATTGGATTAAAAACAAACTGAATCCTTAAAAGTTGGTCAAGGATCATTTGTTTCACTCGATTTTATGTTCACAACTGTTTAAGAGATACACAAGATTGTAGATGAAAGTGAACAGCAAGAACTGTCTGATTGGTCTGTTCATCCCGGTCATCACGAAATGATAGTTGTGGTTTGTGTGGTTCTCAAAACATGTAATTGTTTGCTGATTTCTTTCTGATAAGTATACAAGATTTTCTATAGCACAGCTGGCCCTCTCTGACCTATGAGATTTGTTTTTCCTTTGAATCGTATCAGTAAACATACACGCATTCATCATTCATTCACCACAAAATACACATGGAGGACCACTTCAACTTCTGTTAGGCTTTCTTTTAAAGCCCTGCACTCTTTGGATTAGTGTGGCCAGTTGTAGTGGGGTTTGGCTAGGCTGTCAAGCTTTTGCTCTACAGTTCAGCGTATGTTCCAGTTTGTGCTTCTTTGACAAAATTCATGTAGGTGTTATGCCCCTCTGACACAGGTTTTCTTATCCACTGATTCCAAGTCACTGTCTCTTTTGACTGGGGTATTGCAACTTCCACCTCATCATAGCAGCATTTTGCACAGACTCGATACATGCATGACTCGTCTGGACTACACACAATTCAGGACAACAGCTGAGAAATGCTTGTTGTTTTCCGAAGACCTTTCTGCTGCAGTTTTTCAGCCCTAGAATTTGACATTCTTATGGTCCAAGCATGCACAAGTGTTCCTGTCTGAAGCTTTTGGCAAATAGTCAATACCTAAAAAAGAAATTAAGGCTATTTATGATGGTACTTGCCAAACAACTGTGGAACTAGAAGGGCACTAGGAGAACGCAGACATCTACCAAGGCCATTGTCAAACAACATAAGCCACAGTTCTGATGAAAAAAAATTAGATTCATAGTAATAATAGGGATCTGGCCCAAAATGTAATGGGTTCCTCCTTGGCCCACCCCACAACCCTCCTCCAAGTTCAGTGCTAATGGGTTGAGTTCTTTCTGTGTAATCCTGCTGACAAATAAACAGACCAACAGACAAGTCAAAACAACCTCCTTGGCAGAGGTAAAAACTAAATGTGAGATTTAACCCTGTAAAGTTTTGTACATGTTTGTAAAACAGGATGAGCCATATTTACTTCCAAATTCAGCTTTATAAAGTTAATTCGCAATTTTATTGACAAACAAATTCTTGTGTAGCCTGTTTAGGAGCAAACAGAAAATACATTATTCAGTTAACCTTATCTCATTGGGTTCAGTTTTGTGTTTTTTTTTTTTTTTTTTTTTTTTTTTTTTTTACATTTTTCTAACTTACCATTATTAAAGTTTTCAAACTTGGTTTAAAAAAGTTTCCCCGACACCTTGTTGGGATACAGGTTTGTTATGTTTTAGGACCCTTTAAAACAAGGGAGCAGGTTGGACCGTTGGAGGGCCGTTATCTGAGCTAGCTAACATACGGGATGCAAGTAACAACGGTTAGCAGCTAGCGTAACGGTTCATTTTTATTTTAGTTTTATTTCATTTTAAACGGTGTTTCTGTAATTAATTTATTTGAATGGATCTTTGTGAATATGAACAGCTTGAAAGTGGATCCAGAGATCAAAATGCTGGTGAAGAGGACCGTGTTGTGTTTCAACGGGCGGGCACCGACCCTGCCTTGACGGGCGACCTCAGAGCCCTGCACAACCTGACGGCCCTGGAGAAGCTCTGCCAGGTGTCTCCCTACTTTGGCAAAATCCACACTGACATCCAGCCATACATGAGGAGGATACTGGTAGTGTGGATGTTTCAGGTACGCATATTAGTCAGGCTGTCCAAAAGCTGCAAGTAAGTCTCATTTAGCTGACTTTTAGGTAAAGGAAGTTTCTGTGTGACAGGTGTGTGAGGAGCAGAAATGTGAGGAGGAGGTGTTTCCACTGGCGGTGCATTACCTGGACAGTTACCTGAGCCGTTTTGCCGTCGAGAAGTCCAACCTGCAGCTTTTAGGAGCTGTTTGCATGTTCCTGGCCTCCAAAATGAGAGAGACTGTCCCCCTGACTGCTACCAAGCTTTGTATCTACACTGACAACTTCATTTCAGTCTCAGACATCCTGGTAAATCTCTTTTACCTGTCTGTTTAGAGGGGTTTAATAATAGCTGTAACTGTCTTTGCTGTATCTCCCCATAAACAATGTAAACAACACATAACGAAGTTAACACCATCAGTGATCTCCAGGAACCTAGTGTCCCAAACTCTTGGGGTTACTACTAGACTATTCCACACCAAAGTGTTTCTCAGCCCAGTGGTCGTTCATAACACGAGTCTGAGCAGTCCAGAGATAGTCAACTGCATAGGAAGGCAGAAAAACTTAGCTTTTCTACAGAAATGGGTCGTATTTCTTTAGATGTTCACCTAATGTTTTGTGGTTTTCTTAAGAATTACTGGATAAGTTTACCTCTCATAAGGCCTATAAAAAGTATTCACATAAAATTAACTGAGAGGGGATAATCACTCCTTGGTTAAACAGGTTACAACTTGTTTTCTGCAAGTAGCCCTTGCTCTTTTTTTTAAAGGGGTGACAAGCAAAAACAGCTGGGAAACACTGCCTTATAATTTTTGGAAGACATTCTGTGAAATATCCACTTGTGCAAACAACTTCAGTATCATGTGTGAGTGTTCCTGCAGTGGGATTTAGACGGTGGATTGGTTTAGAGGAATGTGTGTGTTGCAGAAGTGGGAGGTGGCAGTAGTGTCCAGGTTAGACTGGTGTCTGGCCTCTGTGGTACCCTCTGACTTCCTGGAGCCAATTCTTCACGCTCTCCCTTTTGTTCGGCCCCTTCACCTTCAAAACATGCGCCGGCATGTTCACTCCTACATCGCTCTGGCTGCCACTGGTAAGTTACATAACTAAGTTACCAACACATGAGATGATTTCTGTGCTCAATTATAAGGCCAATTTATCATTCCAGTGCAATAAAAGTGGCATTATCAAATCCATTGTAATCTAAACGATGATAAAAAAAAAATTTTGATTAGTGAGCATTGAAGTAAACAGGTGAAATTAAACAACTTTCCACGCAATGAACAATAGGCACAAAGCAGCCATAACTTTGATTACGATGTGTCAGCAGGTCATTTTGGAGACAGAGAGCTGAGTTTGTGTAATCCTGTATTGTTTGCTGTGAAAGACCTGTGTCCGACTATTCAGCTGGCTGATTTCCCACGAATCTCTGTGATGCTGCCCGAGGCAACAGGACACAGTCAGTTAGTGCTGTTTTAGACAGACTATGACATTACAACCCATAAAATTAAGATAATTCCTGGCTCCCGACATTGTAACCCATTCAAAAAGGTGCCTGAGCAAGGATTGAATGACTGACTTTTTGTCTCAGTGTTTCTCCTGCCTGAAGCAATTAGGATATAATATCAGATTATCAGGTTTTGGGAAATGTCTGCTTTTGAGTACTCCCTTTTGTCTATAAGGGTGTGTCTGCAATGGTGGCATCCATCTAACTGTCTACCATCCAACCTTTACTTACTTCCTCACTGTTGGATTTCTTTTCAAGTAGTTTAAGTGAACTACAAAATGGTCAGCATAATTAGGAAATATTATTTATCATTTTTGTTATTTTTAGAGTACAAGTAATCTTTCACTTTTATCCTCAGACTGCATGTTCTCTGGGTTCCTGCCCTCCACTGTTGTATGTGCCTGTGTAAGCATTGCCATGCAGAGGCTAAAGATAGTGGACGCTGATGTCTCCTCTGATACAGTGATCAAGGCTTTAGCCGACCTTTTGGCCATCAATCTGGTAAGGCTAATGTTTAACTGTCATTTTCAGATAAAATCTCTTTTTGACTTTGCCCCATTGTCAGCAGTGACTGGCGTGTTTGTGATCATTGTAGCAAGCACGCTTTTCAAACAGTCTGAAGTACAAACTGGTTATTGCATGTTTAAAAGAGCAGCCATGCACATGCAGTATTGGTCAAGACGTCTGTCCATGACATACTGATGAACTTATGGTTGTTTTTCTTTTAATCTGACCCTGAAAAGAACTCAGTCCTTCTCTGCTATGAGCAGTTAGGGAGTGTGCTGGAGCTCAGCCTGCCCTCCTGTTTCCAGGATAGTGTTTGCAGATCCAAGAGCACACAACTCAGAGATCAGCTACACCCCTGCTGACATTCAGGGTGTTGTATTGACACCAGTGACATCACCTCAGGAAATGAAGAGAAAGCACTCCTCCCTGCCATGAACAGACAGGATAAAATATTAAATTCACAGCCATGAGAGAGAACAAGAAGCCTAAATAGCAGGTACAATGTGTTCGAAATGCCATTCCCTCTTGATCTTAATTGTTCTTTGCATGCTGAGATTTAGAGATTCCTCTGACATTGTATAGAGTGACCACAGTTTGAGAAATTGAGATTTGTTTTAAGTGTCCATCCTGTTGCTGCTCGTTTTAAAGTATTTTGCAATTGTTAAAGCAGCTTTGAAAAATATGATTCTGACTGCGCTTTTCATTGAATATCTGAAGCTACATCAATTTTTTTGTGATATTTAGAGTTGACTTTTACAGAATCCTTATAGCAATGTTTGCACATTTTAATTGTGATGATTTCTATTCGTATGTATTTTGCATTTATCTGGACTTTGCTGAAATTGTAATTTTATCTTTATATATGGACAGTTCTGATAAGTTTAAATTGATGTTTCTGCATGGTTTCTACACAGTACTGAACTTCTTTGTGACTATGATGCAATTCTGTTAAACTATGACATAAAACATTTGTATGTAGGTCAGTAACAACATAAGCCAGCACTTGAGTTCTTTGTTGTTTTTTTTTATTGTTTTTTTATTGATTTCCTCATCCCAGTCACAAAAGCAGATCACATGGCCATATAAATGGTAAGCCAGTAACTTTGGCAAACATGGTTTTTGTTGCAGTCAAAGAGAAAAAAATATGAATAGAGCCTTCATACCTGCAACTTCTGGGACAAGGGAAGGACAAAAATAGCGATGAAATCCCCAGATGCACATCAAATGATACAAGAATGAAACCTGTCTTCCCAAAGGCTGAAGACATGTTTTCTCTGTCACACTTCAATAGTAAAAGATAAGTTATCAGTGACAATGAGTATCGCTCATTCTTTATTGGGGAATTCCTAGTTTACTTTTGCATAAGTACAGGCTTCAAATCCCAGATGAGCCTCATCGTGTGCCAAAAAATTATTCTTTACATTCCAGTTTCCAATAAACAGCATGTTGATCAACTTTTGTTACATGAACTTAATACTCAAATACTCAAATGACAACTGATAAATAAATTCTATGGTTATCAAGTTTCGATGGTCTGATAAGGTGCTGCTCCAGGCACTGGCTTGATGTTCTAATTTAATGCCAGCATACCGATCAAATTAGGTAACCAGTGTGCATCATGAAATTTCAACAACAACATCAACATTTTGATGTACCTTTCTCTGGCAGCCAGGGGGTATTTCACAAGACAGGAGTAGGATGTCAACCAGATAACCACAAAGAGTGGCATGAAATATCTTGTCAAACTAACTCATAATCATCATCAGTGTGCATAATTCGTGACTTTAACTTTTAAACCCAATATATAAGTTATGTTTAATAGGTTGAGTAGCATTGTACTTTTTATTTAATTTATATTAAGTTAGATGGCTAAACATCTAATCCGGCTTTGTGAAATACTGTACCACCCCAGGTGTCTTTTAAATTAAAACGCAAAGTTCAATTTCAACCGAGCTCCATGACTGATCTTCAGAAATTCAGCTGAAAGGTTACACATTAAGTGTGCGCCACATTATACACAGCATACAGTAAGTAGCTGGGGCTCATGGTTCACTTTCAAAAACAAGGTGCTGTATTTGACTTCAAATTTGACTCAGTCATCCCCACCTTTCCTGTGAAACTGTCACCTGCATACATAGAGTCGGTGGCCACCTGTGCACTTGTAACAGCGTAGGCTTGGTAGCAAAAGCAGGTTCTACTGGTTACACTTGTTGTACTCAAATGTGTCATGATTATTATTCAAGTCATTATCCAAATTTAGAACAAGTCATTTCAAGAAATAAAACGATAATAAAAATTAAAAAAATTAAAAAAAACACTCTGACAGCTGAAGTCCCTGAAACAAACAAACGTCCTCTTGGCACTTTTTTCTAGTGCTTTAAATAAAAGCTGAAAAAAAGGTCTGGTAACATTAACGTTCTTTGGTATCCATGAAATGTAATTTTCCCACATCCTAAAACTCAGTAAAAAATCTGTAGTATATGGTACATGAGCCCATCCTAACATTGAACCTGTGTGTTATTGCTGTTATTGCTAGATAAACATAAAGTTGGCAGAAAGCTAGAATCCAAAAGAGTTATTAAGTCATAAACACTTTGTCAAGCTGACCTGACCAAAAGAAGCAATATTTAAAACACCAGTCCTACTGTGACGGTGTAAAAACGGTTTTCTAATTTATTGTCACTTGAGTAATATGTTCTACAAACTCAGACCAGTGTTTTGGTTTCAAGGTGCATTTTCTCATTAACTACACTTTTGATAGTTAAGCTCTCCTGTTGAAAACTAGAGCTCCTGGTCGAACAACGGCAGCTCTCTTCTCCTGAGGATCTTTGAAATGGACATTTTCAATGCACTTGGTTTTGTAAAACACTGTGCCATCTGGTTATATTTAGTCCGTTTTAGTCAAAAGCATCTTCTATCATTCACCATCTTAAATACAATCTGATGTTTAACGAGAAAACCTCCTCCCTTTTTGGTGATGTGCAATTCCTTTAGCCAAAACAATACAGTGTGCTGGTAGTTTCACATAATGCACTTTGGCTTTCATGCCTTCAGTACTTTACAGTCATTTAAAAGTTCTGAATAAAAAACAGTTATTTAGTCAGTGTCCTTTACTAATTACTGGTCTTCAGCTTGCTGCAGAGCCTGCATGGAGAACCATGGCCTGTCTGTAAGCTTCGGTTACATTATCACAGTCTGTGATGGAAAAGGCGCTGTCAGCCACTCCAGACTCATAGCAGTTCCAGGGCCTCAGCAACCCATCCCCAAGAATCCCATGTTCTTGGATGTCCAGCAGGTTGTCTGCAGACACACACCCTCTCATGCTGGCCTTGGCTGGTTTATCCATTTGTGTTGTAGGTCCCACACGGTCTGGCAGATCCAGCTGATCAAAGGACTCTGAAGACAGAATGCTGTCCTCACTGATGGCACCACTTGGTCTGGACCTGGTAACGCCACAGGGTAAAGACACTGCTAACTGGTCTAAAGAGCCAAACTCCTGCAACCCACCTGAGGAGAACTTTCCATTACGCTTCAAGATGCCCTTCCTATAAGTTGGTGCTGAAGGGCACTCTTTATTTTGTGGTACCCAGCCTGAGTCACTGTTCTCAGGAGAGGAGGAGTAATATCCTGACTCTTGCTCTGTCGGCTTCTTTAGGATACCTTTGCGAGGCAGCATTGCAGCTGATGGGGCATTAGATGGTGCAGACAAACCCAAAATGTTCTGAGGCTCCGCTGGACCTGCAGCTGGGGTTTCACTCATCACTTTCTGTTTCACACTGTTACGTCTCTTGAGGATACCCTTTGAGGGACGGCTGTCTGTGCTTCCTTCATGAACCGTCTGGGAGACATTGTTTTCCTTTCGTGACCTTCGCAGAGAGCGCTGTCGGACTACATCCCCTCCACCGCCGCCCTGTGAGCGGAGCAGGCAGCGCATCTTCGAGCCATTCTCCAGTAAAGGCCTGGATGTACGACGGAGCCAACCAGCAACACTGGCCAACCCAGCAGGGTGTGATGTTGATGGAGAGACTGGTGAAGAGGTGTGCTCTGCTGAACTGCTCTTCGCCTCTGCCAGTAATGGCTGCTGGTAACCCCAGTTGAGCCACCAGTGTCCTGCAATCTCCTCTATAGTAGCTCTGCGCTCAGGATTTACCATCAGCATCCAGCGGATAAGTCCACATGCGTCTGATAGAAATAGGAATAAAAAGGGAAATCGACATTGTCACAAAATTAAGTACAAAGTATATATATCAGAGTGATGTTTCAGTCCCTTTGAAGAAGAGTTAAACTGAAAAACTCACCAGAGGGGTTATTGGGTTTACGGTAGTTTCCAGTGCTAATCTGCTGAACCAATGTCTTGTAGTTGTTTCCATCAAATGGCATGGTGCCATGAACCATAGTATATAACAACACACCCAGAGACCAAGTGTCCACCTCTGGCCCACGGTATGGCCGTCCATTGACTATCTCTGGGGAAGCATACAGAGGGCTGCCACAAAAAGTTTGAAGATACTCGTCGCCATGGTAGAGGTTTGACAGGCCAAAGTCTGCAATCTGCCAAGAACAAGAAACAGACGTCAAAGTTGAGCCAAGTCAGATCTGTTATCAGATTACTGCAGAGAATATCCAACTTCCTAAAAGTTTTCTATGTGCATCACTATCCCCTATCAATTAGTCTTAAGAATGATCATACTACTGATTTCAAATATTAAAGATTTCATGGTGATATATTAAACTTTACTACCTTTGTAACAACCATCACACACTATCATTTATAATCTCACCGTTACAAAATAAATTAAAAAAAACAAGACAAAACACGGAATATATTTTTAATAATCATGACTTTGTGTGTGGATGGCACAGGTGTTCAAATGCTCATTTATTTCTGTGCAGGCTTGTTCCTCATACATACCTTAACATTGCCGTTGCCATCTAGTAAAATATTCTCCAGTTTCAGGTCCCGGTGTACTATTCCATTCTTAAAAAAAAAAAAAGGAAGAAAAAAAAAAAAGATATCAGTTTTCCATAACAATGTAATTTTTACAATAATAAATTCTCCACCCAGGCCATTACACATCAGATTACTCGAAAGGTGTCTGTAGGATTAGTTTTTACTGGGTCAGAACACATTCTTCTCCAAGTGAAGATTGTTTTCTGGTACGTCAGCTATGCTCCATTGTCCTCCACTCTGCAGGGGGGAATGCCTTTGACTCAGGCAGAGTTTGAATCCGTTTTGCTTTCAAAAATGCGGGTCAGCTACTTCTTCCGTATGGGTACTTGTTGTAGCAACGGACACATTCTTTTGTAGGGTTGTGTTAGGTAACATTTTAATTGTTATTATAAAAATGTAGGAATGAAGAAATTCACCACCATGCCAAATGTAACAGATAAAATGAATTTAGATGGCCTTTTCCTAACTGCTTTACAAAATATGCTTTATTAAACATCAGCACTCAATAAAAGTAAAAAAAAAAAAAGACAGATGGTTAACACACAATATGACAGGACAATTTACTCTGTAAACATTGTTCAGCAAACAAATGCTGTGCAAAGTGCTGAAGAGCCACACTAAAACATAGTGTGCTCTAAATGTTCGTCATCACACAGCTCTGGACTACAGGAACAACTGATTGTGTGTGTGTTTCTGTGTGTGTGTGTGTGTGTGTGTGTGTGTGTGTGTGTGTGTGTGTGTGTGTGTGTGTGTGCGCGCACGCGCGCGCAGAGCCCTTCTGTTCCATCACACCCTCATTAAACTGTGAGACCATGCGTGTGTGTGCTGGGACGGCTGGCCTTTAGCCCTGACGCTAGCTCTCTACAGACCAACTGTTCATGTCGCCCCGCATCGTTCTCACAGGCTCCCTGTTCAGAACAGCAGGCTGACAGTGCACAATACCCATTATGTAACTTTGGGGGTGCCAGGGCCCTGGAAAAACAACAACGAGCTGAGCAGCCAGTCTGAGTGGAGCTCTGCGTCATTAGGTGTGACGTCCTGGCCAAGGGTGAAGATTTGACAAGGCTAATATACTGTTACTCTACCATGCCTACAACTTAAGTTTTTATGCAAGATTTACAATTTCCCCTTGATTCTGCTTCATGTAAACAACTTTAAATATTCTGCATGAAAGCACTGATTTGCCTTACCTGATGGCAGTAGTGCACAGCTGATACAATTTGTCTGAAGAAGTGCCTGGCCTCTCGTTCAGAGATGTGCCTCTTGTCACAGGTGTAGTCATACAGGTCCCCACGGCTGGCGTACTCCATCACGATCACTATTTTGTCCTTGTTTTCAAATACTGAAAGAACAAAAAAACAAGAACACCTTTCAAATCCAACTGATAAGCCAAATACAACTGAATTAAATTATCTGCAATATTTATCTTTAAAACCTGCAACTCCAAGCACTAAAAGAGGACACTGGACTGTGCAGAGCCTCTTACAATATTTACACATAAATACAACGTGTTCTGAACAACCCCTAGTTCACACTGATTAGGATAAACGAGGCCCCACGATGACTGTTCTGCATTGAGGTGGAGAAAGACCATCTCATCAGGCGTGAGCGGCACTGGAAGACACAAGGCTCTGCACATTATCCTGCAGCGCTGAATGGGTGCAGCAGAGTACCAATGCTTATATAACCTAGCACCGGTCTTCAGCACAAAGAGTTGCGTGACCAAACTCTGACTCTCAAACAGAGACTCATTGAGATGCGCCTTTTTCCTGGTGTCACATTTCACTCAGCGTGTGGCTTGAAGATACAGCCACCCAAGAAAGGTAAACAATGAAACACAACCCAGACACACACATGCACACAAAAAATCATTAAGGTTTTGAGAACTGTACCTTCATATATGGTGATGATGTGTGGGTGGCAGAGTGAGGACATGATCTCAATTTCTCTGCGAATATGAACCAGGTCTTGCTCATCCTTGATCTTCTCCTTTCTGATGGACTTTATGGCGACCTTAAAAAGAAAAGGAAAATTTAGTCATTAAGTCAGTAAACCGACTCGGTAATGTCAGTTTACACAGTAAGATTTATCGCCCTGGAGTCTAAAGAAATCAGCAGACGTGTGTTTGATTGCTTATGAATTCAACTTTTCATTCATAAGGATGAGAGATGAACCATGGGCAGTGAACTGAAAACTCTGCTGTGTTGTTTCTAACAAGGCACAGGGAACGCCGGGGCAAGTATTGTCTGCTGTAAAGAAAATCTATTGTCTGCTGGTATGTCTGCCAGGCCCATAGAATAAGGAATTTTAAATCTGAATAGCATCTGTCTATATTCGTAGACCTGTCATTTAAAGGATTTTGACAAGTCTGTATGCATGTCTTTATGTAGTGTTTGTCTATTTGAAGCTCAGATGCCTGGGATTCCTCTGTGCACTGAGTGCGTCATCAGTCTACCCCAAGGTTAAAGGGTGTCATGAGGCACCAGATGGCACTGGCGATGGGGTATCCTTGTTTGCCCTCCTTTAAAACCCTCAAGGCAATAGACATGGTAGAAATGAGTAAAGCAACGACTTGTCATATCAGTTTCAACACACGACTGTCTCTCGCCATGAGTCACTGTCTGGCCCGGGTGCTTCTCTGGGTCAGCACAATATGCACACCACACAGACCTTTCTCCTGATTCTGGGAACTGAGGTTTCCTGCGTTTGTTTGCATAGCTGTCGGATGGGCTGAACTCACACTCATGATGAGTTCACACCCCTGTGAGGTTATGTGTGTGTGTGTGTGTATGTGTGCGGTCTTTGTCACTGTCAGTCTGTTCCACACAGTAAGCACTGACACGCTGAAAACTTTTTTATTTCACACAGTGGTCTCGTACAAAGACACTAAAACCATATTTTCGCACTTAGGCCGGTTGCACCAACTCTTCCTTAGTTCAAACCTAGCCTGGTTATAACATTTACTAAATGAAATTTATGCATCACTTAATGAAAATGTGTTGCACTTGCACCTTACAAACTAGTTCTTATGCAACGATTAATTGTTACTAATACTTAAACCAAATAATTTGCAGGTGTAACTGATGCATAGCTAACGAAACAACTAAAAAAACTTTGTCAATAGCCTGATTGAGCAAATAATGTCATTCATGTTTCGCTCAATCGGATATTTGGTTTCGTAGTATGACTACTGCTGAAAAAAGATATATTAGACAAAATAGTTAAGACTGCATCTAAAATTACTGGCCACTGTTTCCAATCACTCTCTTCAATTTCTAAAGTTCGGCTTCACCAAGAAGTCCTGAATATTGTTAGAGATGATTCTCGCCCAGCAGCTCCTCGTGAGGAATCGCCCTCTCAGAGGAGGTTAGGTCCACTGTTTTGAATCTGAACAGTTTTAAAAGTTGTGAATGCTAAAGCTCGGGCACTTTAAGGCACATTTTGGTTTTTGGTTGATTATTTTTGTAATTACTTATAGTTTGCATATTTATTATGTTTAGGTCACTTGCAGACCTCTTCCACTTAAGTTTTTTTTTTTAAGCAAATTTTTTACATCTCTGGTACTTTGTGTATTTTAAAAATGTTCCTATGTATATGGTTTTATTATTGTTGTGTTCGTACTGTTGTACTGTGAGCACACTAGGCAAATTCCTAACAAAATTTTTTGTAATAAAAGTTAACTCAGTGAAGATAATTGGTCCTTATAGCCTCGTGTTTCTTAGCAACTGATTTACACCATGCTAAAGTCTTTACAGACTAAAACATTTTAAGGCTTAACTGCGCAACCTGATTTAGTCAACCAGTTAACCAGCTAGTTGTTCCTAAGAACTTAGGAAGGACCTCACACACAAACTTAGTAATGGATTGCAATAGCTGCCAGCCATTGTAGGTGATTAATAGAGCCGTCCTGTTAAATGTGTGAAGGCGTACATAGCATACATGTCATGCACCGAGTGTGAGGTCAACCCTTCAATAATCTATGCTGAAACCCCCCACCTAAATGGGTTATGTAATCAAACGTATGCACTTAGACAATAAGAGCAAATGTGTTGCCATAGTGCACACAAGATGAAGTCCTCTTTTATGTTGTGTCACTCCCTGTGTCAAATTACATATCATTGTCCATTATATAATAATACTAAGGTAGGTGGACGAAAACAAAGCAAATGAATGTTTCTCCTTTTTCTACCCCATACTAACTGCTGTTTGTTTGGTGTGAATTCAAAATAGGCTTTCGAGCTAATCAGTATTTTGACATTTGAACATGTGTCTGAGGCGTGCAGATCGGGAAGCTGCCCGCAGGGATAAATCTCAGACACCAGCTCATATCATAAAAAAAACAGAGCACAGCAGCAGCAGCCAGACGTGTCAGACAATGTGAGCGCAGTAGACAAGGCTGAACATGAATCACAGCCTGTTTACTGTAGGTACAGGAGGGAAATTCCTGATACTTTTTTCATTCACTTCCACTTACAACAAACATGATCTTTCAACACACAGCACTCCTGATAAAAGTGACTCTGATTTTCATCTACTTTGCATTTCCAAATGGAAATTTAAAACATTAGCTCATGTAAACAACACATGCAACAGTTTGTAGTCCTACATTCAGCCACCAATAAATAAAATAAAACAATAAAGCCTGCCTTTATAAGGGTTATTATGAAACAGTTTTAGAGAGGTGCTGAATAAACTTTATGGTCATTTTGTAGGCTGTAGTCTGCGGTGCTCTTGAACTGTACTGCATTATGCTTCTCATATGTACCATAGACTTATTGAAATATGCACATTATCCATTCATAGCTGTTTAAAAAGATTTAAAAAGTCTTATAAAATTGACAGATTCTGTTTGGGGTGGAATACTGGGAGACTTTATAATCCACAAAACACATTACCATTTGTTTGCCAACTTCTCTACATCCCTTTTAAAGGCTTATCTATATCCAGTCTGTTTTAAATACCTCCCATTTCCCCTTAGGTCATAGGGAACTGGAATCCACCTGAAAGGCTAATTGTAATTTCCCCTCCTCCCTTCATCATGAACACAGAAAGATATTTACCTAACTTTCCTGTCTAAAACTTCCTCCACGAACAAATTCACTTAAACGTTCCAAAGAAACGCCTTTCCTTTATACTTCCTTTAAAACTGTTGGAGGTGATTAAATAAAGCTTTTTGTCAAGTGAAAGATTTACAGCAATTAATTTTTGGCCGGACCGCAACAGTGGAGCCCGCCTTGTAATCGCAAATGTCCATGACTGACTGAGTGATCATATTTCCGCCACTGATCAGCCAAATGCCACGTGACTGAGTTGAAGTTTCCCCATTGACTGTTGCTCTTTCAAAATTAATTTGCACAAACAGTTTCTAAGTTAACATGTCGTCTTAATGGGCTGCGTATCAGCCACCATTTCAACATTTTGCACATTGATCATACGCTCTCCAGCCATATACTAGGTTTTGACCTAGTCTTGTTGCTTTAGTCTTTGTAGGATGACCTCAAACATAAGTATTTATTCTGTTGTCAACTGATCTTTCATTTTACTTTGATGGACCACAAATAACCTGTTAAGATAAAACATGGGGATGGCCTGTGGAAACTGGTACATGAGAATACTTCTATTATTCTAATTTGGTTTACACAGAGGATCAAGACTGTGCTGTGCTTGTGCAAAACTCAAACCGATTAACAAAGAGTATTATTCACACATTTCTTAATTCAATGATAAAATTGCTTGAAATAAAAAAGGACTACATTATTTCATATGGGTTGCAACTCACAAGACACAAAACACAGTGGAAACTAAGAAAACCCCCTAAAGCAAACACAATGGACTCTTGTGCAAACTTAACTTGGTTTGTCAGCTGACAAAGACTTCAGCAGTAGACACACTACTTTTATTATTTTACAATTCAGCAACATGACTATTTCCACTAAGAGAAACTAGCAGCCAATAGTATATAGTGTTTTTTTTCTAATTAACATCCAAATGTAGAGTACCTGTGTGCAGACAGTAGGTCCTCTAAAAATAGCCCTCTATCTCTAAACAACAGGTGGCCAACAGGACAGTAAAGCAAACAGACCTTAATACTGACTGCAGATGTGCGCACCGTTGATAGAGGTAAATAGTTGGATCACACAATAAAAAAAACAGTAAGCGGAGGTGTGTTATATGCTTACCAGTCTACCGGATCTTTCCTTGGCTTTCTTCACCTTGCCATAGGTTCCTTTCCCCAGAGTCTCCAGAAACTCGTACCTGTGCTTCAGGTTGTGTTTGTGGTGGTGTCTCTTCACGGCTTGCTTTTTCACCGGCACCTGACACGGAGCTTTCCCAGCGGGAGTATTTTCATCGGGTGAAACTCCCCCGACAGATGGCCTACAGTTTGATGAAAGACGGGCAGCATTTAAGCCATCCATCCTGACAAAACGTTGTTGTCCTTTTTTTTTTTTAATTATTATTATTTTCGGACGCAGGTTTCCTTGTTTAGCAGCATTCCTCTGTGCGGAGCCCGGGTCGGTGTTGGAGCAAGCTGCTTCCAAAGGTGCTCAGGTACAGTTCAGATAAAGGTGGAAATATAAGATGTTCTTTTACCGGCTGTAAAGCATATTACTATAACTAAATGTTGAAGACAGAAACCGGAGCAGCAAATCTGAAGCCCACAGCGTCTGTCCTCTTCGTCGCTCTGGGACCTACTAGCAGCAGGTACACAGCATGCTGCGGCGAGAGGAGCGGAGCACGGACTACAGACGGACACGTCAAACAGCTTGGGGGCGGTTCAGGTACACAGGAGCGTTTGATCTGCTACACCAGCCGGGGCCGGTTACTGTAACATTACAGACTGAAATCAGTACGTGTGTTATATTGCGTAGCTCTCTCTTTGTGTTTTGTTTATTTATTGTAAAAGTATCTATTTTTCATTATGTGTTTTCAAGACTCCAAATTTAACCCAAATGTAAGTTCAATGGTGCTTCAGTGTTGTGTATGATTAACTAGCCTATAGTAGTAGCAGCAGTAGTATGGATTAATCATGTTGTTTATAAAATGTCAAATACAGTGAAAACTGATGATACGATCTCCCAATAAGACTTAAAGGATTATTTGATAAACAAAATAGCTGCCAATTAATTATTTGTTGATCGACTAATTGTTGCAGGTCTAACATTAATAGCAGTAGTGGTACATAGCAAATAGATGTAGAAAGATGTAAAAGAAAGGGCAGGTGTAAGAAGTAGCTAAGCCAAATAAAACACTGAATGCAGATCTAAGCTTTTGTGCAACTGCTGTACAATCGGTGTGCACGGAAACGTAGAACAAGCGCACCAACCAAACAACTAAAACCAAATAAATAGTGTATAAAACAGTTAAAATAAGCTCCATCTTGACTTACTACAAAAGGGAAATGCCACTTAAACATGAATGTATTACTAATAATAATATAAAAATTTAATCTATAATAGTTTAGAACTCACAGGAGACATTGTGGGTCTATGGATACTTCCCCCACAGCTAATAATAACAAGAGAGAAGAGAAGAGAGAGAAGAGTGGCAATGAAAGTAAGGTGAATAACCGGTTAGACTATTACTATTAACTTGTTGATCATGTTGGCAATATTTACTTTATTTATTCAACAATAATTGAACTTTACACCCATTGATAATGTCAAATTACTGTGGCCTTTTCCTTGAATTATCCACTTCTAAAAAACAAAACAAAAAAAAATAAATATTAATGAGCTGGCTTCATTTTCCAACATAACCTACTGTAGAATATATGTTTGCAAGAAGTTGTATTAGTCATGTCATTAAAGGTATAGGCCACTAGAGTTCAGCATGTAGTCACTAGTTGCAAGAACGTGGGTTAACTGATTTGGACCAGTAGATTTCACGAACAGAAAACCTGAAACAGAAAGTGACTCTGTCCAAAGTCATACTACACTACTTCATACATACTGACAACATGAACAGTTTTATTATGTCCAGTGTTTATTATCCTATCGATCCCACTGCTTGAACAGAATGGTTCAATTTAATATTCAGTACATAATTAAAGTATACAGAATGTAACATCATTTCAGACACTGCTGATGAGTGATGAGCAAACATCCTTGATTCAGATGTAATATACTCTGAGCCAGTTGGCTGCTCTCTAATTCAGTATATCTGCCAGAAGAGGGGGCTCAATGGAGTCCTGACACCATGCCCAAAACTGGTGATTTCTTTTTCTACATCAAAATTACTGCAACATCTGAACATCAGAAATGTATGAGATATGAGTGGTATAGGAAAAGTGAAGTGGAAAAACAAAACTATAGACTGATTATTCTGTGAGAAAAGGAGAGAACAAGAGTTCTTTCATTGCACATGGTCATTCTTCTTTAAGCTCCATTATTCACAGCAATTACATTCACACGCTGATGATGGCGTATATGATAATGTGTCGTGTTCCTTTGCCATACACGTTCATACACTGGAATTAATAATATGTGCAAATTAATTAGCCATTTAAGCGAGCTAATCAGTAATTCAAAGTCAAAGATGACACTAGTATTTTTTTTCCCTCTGTGAGTTTTATTGGGATCCTTACGGGAGCTTATTATTGCCAGAAGACAAAAACAAAAAAAGAACAATTAAAAGTTATAAATGAAATAAAAACCAGTTGAAAGTATGAAATTGTAAATCAAAATCATGGGATACAAAGTCAAAATCTTAAATGGGCGTATCCTGACTTTTAGTCCCTGGTAAGGGTCATGCTCCAAACAATGAATACATTTCCCATAATGCAACTAAGAAGCAGTAGTGCAGAGTTATGCAAACCATCTTCCCCAGTGCTATCAGATTTTTCGGTGAGCTCATTGGATTTGTATTAACTCTTGCTCCATCCTTTAATGTTGTATTTTTTAATAGGTCAGCGATGAAGCTGTCCTTACGAGACTAACTCGAACTTCTCTCAGACCTAAGAGCTGTTTCAACCCTTGTGAATTACAAAGACTGCCTTGCTGAAGACCTAACACTTGGGAATCTCAAAGCAATGACTGACACACCATTTGACCGTTTCCCCTGACTCAGTCTTAGGATGCATACTGTACCTGGCCTGGTAAGTACAAAACTGCAGAGAATCTTGAGTAAATAATGTTTTTGTAAAAAGGAGGACTTTCAAGTTTTGCATTAAGAAACTTTTTAAACTTTTAGCACAGTTTGAATGTCATTATTCAGTACTTACTCCAATGCAATGTTGTAAAAAAAGAACTGCAGTACAGTGTGTGTGTCCTGCTCCTGTCTGTAAAGGAGCTGAGTCCTTGGGGTTTTCCTCATAATTTCCCCTGCGCCTCTTAGTATTTACCTGCTAGTCCTCATCCCTGCTCCTTTGTGGAGGAGCTGAGGCCTGAGGTTGAGGGAGTAAACTCTTCCAACCTTTGAGAAACTGAGAACAGAGTTCAGGTTGTTCCACTTGCTGCTCAGGAAGCTTCTGGTGCTGAACAGGTACCTGTGGGTTCCTGACCAAGCGGCCATCAGCTGCTGAGTAGCAGCAGCAGGACCACAAATGTGAGCAGGAAGAACGTCAGGAATATGAGCAGGAACACCAACAGGAGCAGCGAGGGGAGCGCCAACAGGAACAGGAGGATACAATCCAATATAGTATTGATAGTGAAGTCAAGCTTCAACAAACAAATTCAGGGTCCCATCCACACAGAACAACAGACCCCGATGTGTTTATACATGTATGTCTTTTCTTCATGACATCTAACTGATTAATCAACTAATTATTTCCCCTATTTTAGTAGGCTATTGGCTTGTTTCTGGCTGTTTCAGGAAATAATGATATTGTCATTTATATTGGGGATTATGGAAGCCCTGAGAAAAAAAATGGTGATCTGAAGTCTGGTCTAAATTGTTTCCTCTCCTGTGTTTATGATTTAAGACCAGGTGAAATAAAAAAATACATTCCTACGTTACATAACTTAGTCCTATTTAGACTGGGGTAGTGGTGCACCTCAGCCCCTTGGGGCTGAAGTAAGTATTACAACAACAAACACTTTGAAAAAGTGTGACAGTTTGTTTTTACAAACGTTTTTTCACTTGATTTCATAGATGAAAATTCTTTTGGAAAGTTTAATCATTAAAAATAGATAAGACTTAGAAAACGGATCACCAGATTTTTTCTTGCTTGTCTCTCAGGGCTTCCGCAGATATCAATAGAGACCCAAGAACAAGTTTTTGCCTGAGAAGGTTAAACCGACCGTGTGTCATCAGGGCAAGAAGATTCATACCTTTTTGCAGTTAGACTTTTTTTTTATCATTAAACTTAACTATGTTAACTGTGACATTGAACTGAAACACGGTGATGGCTTAGATCCCCTGTACAGTTGCTGCTGCTGTACCAACCTATGGCAGGCTACCGACTATATGAATAGTCCTACATTTCCCAGATTGCAGTGCATCACCGCGGACCCCGCCCTTTCCTCTCCCTAACTTTGGTCTGGACGACTTTCTGTTTTGCAGTGATTTGATTGCTTGGTCTCAGCTATGTGATTTGACTCGGACACACCTCGCCCTGCACCACCACCGACTGTCCTTTTCATCTTCGTCCTCGCCGACAGGCAGCCTCTTTTGGCGGTGTTACCGGCGCTCACCGGGGGTGGAAGATGTCCACTGGCTTCTTCGGGCCAGAGCCAGTTTAGGAAGATCTTTTCCCACGGAGACTTATCAGGAAAACACCGACGTTTTTTGTCCTGTTTAGGCCGTTGTAATTAATTAAGAAGCAGCTGTCATATTTGGCTTCTTCTTCTTTCTTTTTTTTTACACCGAGCTTTATGGCTGTGAAACGGCGTCCGGGGCTGTTGGTGCAAAGTAAGAGGCTATGAGTGCGGTGCCAGGCCAAGGCGAGGGCGGACAGGAGATGTGTTCTGGCTAGCAGCGCTAACCTCATCTGGACCTCAGCTAGGTCGACAAACACAGATTACTTAGCACATTATTCAGTCGTCAACTTATGAGTTCGTATCCTTTGTTTGTTTTTAACACACTCCTCAGTTTGCAGTCAGTGACACGTACGGTTTTAACCAGAAACCACAGCAAACACAAGATGCTGAAAAAGCAGTAAGTTTGTTAGCTAACTGTTAAAATCAACATTTAAGTTATCTGGCTGCCGAGGCACGTCGTTCAGCTAGCTAGCTGTGCATCATAACAACAAAAGCCAAATGCCTAGCCCTTATTCATTGACACAAGAGACTGTAGGGACTGTTGTCTGTCCAGCACTAACACACTAATGTTGATATGTTTAAACTGACCACAGGTAGTGACTCGTTTAGCACAGCCTAGCAGGTGGATGGACAAGCATGACTACTAACTAACTAAAGAAAAAGGTGTGATAGCAGGACTGATTTGAGTCAACTAAGACGTTCATTTTGAGTGTTTGGCACCGGTCTAACCCTGTAAGTCACAACAAGAACTCGACCCATTGACCATGGAGGGAAATGTACAACAACAGAAAACGACTCCTTTAGCCCGGGAGCTGATGAGGATATTTAATAGCTACAACAAGCACTCCATACAGCTGAAGAAGAACCTGAAGGAAACTAATGCATTCTTCCGGGAAATAAGGCAAAATTACAGCAATGCTTGTGCATCAACCATGAGCTCGGATTTGGCTTCTCTGGAGGCAGGTAGGTCTGAGCACATGCAGCAGCAACATCTGCACTTAAATACCACAGTGTTGAAGACATCCTAAATGAGTGCCAACAAGTCAAATCATATCCACTTGCTATGTAATACTTATGTATCCTGTAGTGGAACTGCAAAGTGATTTCTCCACCAACACATTGACTGAGAAAAATGCATTAATTAGGGTTAGGGAAAACTAAAGAGATTAAGCTCCCTTTCAGAAGCATGAGCAGTCTAAGTGCACCAAATATGCTGAGATTTCTGCACTCACTAGCTGGCTAAGAGCAGGGGATATCAGGCTCTCATTCTTGTCTTTTGCATTGATTGTGCCTTGTGTGTGTGTTTGGACTGCTTAGGATGAATTTTTGACAAAAGTAGCTTTGAGTCCAACTTTAAAATGGACATACCTCCTCTATTTGATATTGTTGTATCACATTTCTCCATTACAAAGATCGCTGATCAAGAATGTTTAGAAAGTGTTTTTCACTGCTCCACATATCCCAACATTACATGAGCACTGATACCATATGATTCAAATGCTTATTTCTGTGAAACATTGATTAAACGTACAGCAGTGATGGTATGCTGATAAATTGTAATGCGTCACATCTACAGGAGTGGCTTACTCGATCAGAGCTGGTGTCCTGCGCACAGAGAAGGTCAAATTAATTTTCCTCAATGTTGAATGAACAATGTTAAGCTGAAGATTAGTCATAATCAACAGAAAAAATGGGACCATAATGCTGCCTTTCATGGGCAAAGCCAAACACATGTCTTCACCTGCTAACTAGATTCATCTTGCAAATGTCTTGGTTACACTTACTTATCTGGGCAAAAATGCAGATCACATGATGCAGTAGGATCATACAATAGAGTCTGATCTGTAGTTTTTGTAGAGATTATTCACAGGTCTGCACTGACTGCCTGTAGTCTATCCATAGCACACAGGTCATGCAGTCAAACGCTCAGCACTGGTCCGTCTGAAACAATTGACTTTAATGCATCATGATAGGTCAAGAGGTGAATACAAGTAGTGGAACGCTGCAGTCGGAGTAGAACCACATGCATGTTTGTTGAAAGAAATACACTAGTATATGAATATACAGTTGGCCATTACTGCTCTCTCCTCTCTTTGTTATATAACTCTTTAAGTCTGTGACTCAGCTTCATTGAGGATTATCTCTGATACCACCCACAATAAGTCAAAATTGGTTCTTCTCTGTATGTTCCACATTTTAGGAATAGACCAGGAAATAACAGCCCAAGGAATAATATTGAGATAGCGGTTAATAGCTCTATTATGGAACAGTGGGCTATTGTATATTCTGAGAATGACATTCACATACAAAGGATCTGTCACTCAGTACTTTATCTCTGCTCACAGTGCTGACCAAGGGTTCCTAAAAATGTTCACCTATCCCAGGAGTGAACAGCCTTGCTTAGGTTTACTGGTTCAATTTTAGATACCCCAAGTTTTGCTTTGCGTCAACAATCTAACCTCATATACTTGCTTTTGTTCTGTCTGCCCCCCCAGGCCAGCTAAGCTGCATCTCTTTCCCGAGCCATGAGGAAGAGTTCCTACGCAGCACAGTGGGTGCTACCCCGTACATCCTGGTACTGGGCCAGGACTGTGCTGCCCGCTACCAGCTGCTCAACTGCCTTCTGGGGGAGAGGTTGCTGCCACTGGGCCCAGAGGCCGGCGAGGCTTGTGAAGGAGTCCAGGGCACTGTCTGTAAGAGGAGGAAGCTGTGTTTCACCCATGGGAGACAGACACGGCTCAGTTTGGCTCTGCCCGGCCAGTATGAGCTGGTGCACCAGTTGGCGGCTAACTGTGGCAGATGGGATACAGTGCCAAGGGAGGACCTGGAGATCCATGAGGAATGCGAGGACCCGGCACACAGGCTGGCAGAACTGGAGATCACCCTGCATCACCCACTGCTACAGGTAGGCCTTAGATACAGTGTGAACCTTCTGCATCCACTCTCTCAATACCATGTGCCATCATGGTTTAAATATGGAGTTGACATGCAACCACTATGTTGTACTTATCCTCATTGCCACTGCTTTGTTTCCTCTTCATGAACTTTGACACTTTAACTCGGAGTGTCCTACAAAGTTGCTCACTGTGTTATTTTTGGAAGAAGATGTAGAATGAAGTTGAGATGTGACAGAGGCTTGGATGAAAAACGGGTGTTGTGGGGTTTTTTTTGGCAGAAAGCTTTGAAAAACATAAGAACAATTAGGTAGTCAAGATCAAATGTTGGTGTCAGCACATATGTATTTGGTTATTAAAATCAAAAATGGAGTATTGGCACGCTTGCTATCACTTTCTGAAATAAGCTTCTACTATTAAAAAAAAAAAAAAACCTCATGTGTTCAGTCAAGCAACATTGTAAATTGTTTTTAGATGTTTTGATATGCACAAAACCATTTTTGTATTCGAGCAATTACAGTATTTAATCCACAATTAGGGGAATGTTTGCACATTTGTGTACTTGGAGAGGGAACAACAGGTGAAGCTGAAGTCTGTACATGGTCCTCCATTTTGTTTGAACATGTCTGTGTTAAAACAGGCTACTTGATATTACAGCCATCTCTAAGAAAATTCAATAGTAGTTTTTGCAGTTTTATGTGGAAAAACAAACAAAAACATCTGACTCGGCATGTGCAAGTCATGTTGTGATGTTCTGAACAACAAAATGAAACGGTCCTTGAATTATGACGCTGATTTCAATCATATGGCCCAGCCCTAATTGTGTGTTTATATTTTGTATGGTTGTATTTCCTCCTGTAGCCCGTGATTTGATTTTTTTTTTTTTTTTTCATGATCTCTGGTTTGAACTAGCCTTTGCATTCACCCATGGCTTACCCCACAAACAGATTACTGAGCAGAGCTGATTATTTTCTGTGTTGGTCAGTGTTTTACTTTACCTGATTTGTGCTACTGTTCAGGCGTACATTCGTTTCCAGTCACTTTTCTCCTTTTCATGTTTTAAGGACCTCTTAAAAACAGACTCACAGGTTACTTTTGATGTCACATGGAAAAAGGAAGAATTGTTGGACACAGTGGTCCAGTCATGCCGATCTTCAGCCAGTGCAACCTGAAAATCTCAATATCTTGTGGGAGTGAATTGATTTAACATGGTGTAAGGATTGTAGTCATTCCTTATAATGTGTCACACGTGGAAATTAGTCTCTAATCCTTTAGGCCAAGGCCCTTTAGCGAGCGTCACACAGCTCCAGAAACTAGGCCTAACTCTATCTCAGCACAGCCCACCCGCCCAGCCCCCTTACGTAATGCCACTGGTCTGGTGTGATTCACATGACTTGGTCATGTACAAAAAATCCCAAACCATTTGCTGTGATGAAGTTGCCATGGTTACATCTGATTTCTGGGACACTGGTTCATGTTGACACAAAAAACATTTTCGGTTTTTAGTCTTTTAATTTGGAATTATGGTTGTGCTAATAGGAAAGGACCTATTCATAACTTTTTTACTAGTGTTTACTCTTAGTATGCACATAAGCATGTATTACATTTTATTTGTAATATGTGTGTGAGATGAAAGCACACCAATCAAACGTCAAATTTTGCATTACTCCTTTTAAAGTAGACTAAATATGGGTATAGTTTTAAGATCCACTGGAGTCTTATCTTATAAAATAAAAGTATAATAGATCAAACATCTAAACGGGAAAGTAGTCGGTATCAGTAGTGGAAGTAAAGTTATTTTCACACATTTTTATGTGTGACCGAAAGTCATGAACTTGTAGTATCTTAACTGGGTCAAAAGGACCTTATACATTTTAGATAATAGGTCTTGGCTTTAATGGTCAATTAAGTTTAATCTATAGTTTGAGTTATAACTTGTTAATCATTTTAGTAGTTGTGAATCTATGCATTTTCATCAGCCAAGCAGTAAACACAATTTTGTCACAAACTAAAGCTGCCATTCTTTCTACTGATGAATAAGGGATTAATATGTTGAGGTCGGAGTAAATGAAGGCACAGAATCTCTCTGCTCACTGTGGTATTCACACACTTGTGCCATAATCACAGCAGCCTGCTTTAGAGGCCAGCAGATGAGAGCCAACTTGCTAATTAGCTTCTCTTCATCTTAACCACACAGAAACCACGAGGACATTAAAGGGGCTAACCTATCGCCACGTTTCTAAAATACTTGTCAGGTACATATTCTGTTATGTTCATTGCCAGTGCTCCACGAACTCACATAAGACAGTCTGCTTGTTCGCAAAGAGCCGTGATATTAGCAGCCACCCTAAAAATATGCTAATAGAAGAAAATTCTAATTTCTATGACGGTCATTTGTCTTGTCCGTGTTACTTTGTAGAACTGGGTCAGACGGTGGCAGTAATGATAGTTCAGACTTTTTAAAGACATGTAAAACAAAATAGTAACTTCAAAATAGCCCACAGACATCCTGTTCAAGGGTTGTTATTGAAAACAAGCTGCATTAAGGCAATTCAAACATTGTATTGATTTTGATTGGGTGTGAACAAATGTTTGCAGGCTATCCTTGTTCCAAAGAGACTGCTCAGATGGGCTCCGTTCTTGTTTCTTGGAGACAGGACTGACTGTCTCCTTTGTGTAGCTGTTGGTCATTTCTGCCTCTTTTCTCTGGCTGTCTTTTCCCCCCATCATGGTCTCTGTCTCTCAAGCTTTCTGCGAGTCTATTTTTGTTAATGTCATTATTTATCAAGGGTTATGCAAAGCCTTTTACTTCTGTCATTTTTCTGCCCTGTTACAGAAATTCCCAAGACCACCACAAATATTTATGTGTCATTATGTGTTCAGAAATAGAAGGAGCATGTGATATGTGTGGATGTGTTTTTTCTTCCTCTGCTGTGGAATCCCTTTAATCGTCTTCTTGGGTTGAAACCTGTGCTCTGATTGCCTGAACTCTTTATATAACAGGTATATAATTTTGCTGTTAAGATGTGGTCTTCTGCATTTTATGTCAGGACATTAAATCTAAATTGCATAAAACATTTGATGTGTAGAAAAGTAAACCTTTTGATTTTTTTTTATAGATTTCTACGAAAAGATAATTGATTATAACAACTGATTTTTTTGGATTTACTCTTAGGACAAGCTGTGACCACAACACTGACATGTTATCTCCTTTTATGTGTATGGTGAACTTGTTAACAAACAGTTGTCTATTTACACTTCCAGGCAGCAGACACAGAGACACATTATCATTTGGAGTTGTGTTTCTGGCCAATATTCACACTTTCTAGCCCAGATTTTAGTCTCAAACAACTTCTGGGGAAATGTAAATACTAAATGCTCCGCTATGTTCACCAGCTAGTAACTAACTTCTTCTTCTTCCATTTTTTGGCACTGAGCAGGTAGTGTACTGTAGGTTTATCTCTCTCTTAACTTTTCTACTGAAACAGCCATCCTTGGCAGCCCAAAACGATATTCATGAGAGTAGTGAAAGTAAAGTTGTGAGCATGAAAACCTAAATAAAAATGAGCTGAAATATGCTCTTAAACTCCATAGACTTGAGGGGAACATTAGAGCCAGATGATAATTCACCATAAGACAACTTTCAAATTACACATACTCATTTTATACATTGTTATTATACAGCGCATTCAGAAAGTCTTCACATCCCTTCATCCCTTTTTTCACATTTTGTTATGTTGCTCTAATGTTGTTATGATGCTTAGTTTTTGCCCTGATATGACATTGTATGTCAGCTGTGAGACCTTATATAGACAGGTGTGTGCCTTTGCAAACCATGTCCAATCAATTAAATTGACCAAAAGTGCACTCATCAAGGTGAAACATCTCAAAGATGATCAAGAGGACCGGGACACACCTGAGCTAAATCTTATGTTTCTGTTTTTACCTTGTCATTATAAGGTATTGAGTTAAGATTGAGGGAAAAATGAATTGTTTTTATTTTAGCATAAAGCTGCAAAATAACAAAATGTGAAAAAACTGTTGTTTGAGCACCTTCTGAACGCACTGTGAAAATAAGTATTATCGGTTTTAATTTCCATTCAACTCCATTATTTTTGGTTCAGTGGCAGAAATCTCAAATCCAGTGGTATCCTCCTTGTTGTGTGCATGACTAGATTTAAGTAGGAGTAAATGTGAAACTGTTTTTGTTGAACTGTCCCTCTTTCCCTTGTCTATATGTAAACCAGTTTACTTAAGATGAATATTGTTGTGGTTTCCTTCTGTATCATCCTCAGGAAGCAAAGGTCATGGTGGTGCCTTGTCAGAGCGTCCAGCCCATAGGAGAGGCCCTGGAAGACTGCACTCACAACGTGATCCCCATCATACTGTATGCCATCAACCAGGACTCCCTAAGCACAGAGCAGGTGGCTGAGCTCTGGAAGGTCAAAGAGCTGCTGCCCTTTCCCATCTGTTTTGTTCGTATCCCTAACACCATGCCAGCAGCCTCCCCTGAACCCGGCCGCCGCATGGAGAAGGAAAAAGAGAGGGAGAAGAGTTCCCTCCATAAGCAACTGCTGTCCCTCGGTTTCCTCAGTAGCCCGACAGGAAACTGCTCCTGTGGCGCCCCTACACAGGGGCCCACCCCAGGTGCCAAGCCCCAGAGCATGCTGGGTGAGACCTTTGAAAGACTGCATCGGTTGCTGGTGCCTTTTACTCGTCAAGTGCTTCAGAACCAGCAGGTGGAGGCTGCCAACCTGCTTAATGGGCTACATTGTCGCTGTCTAGATCTTTTCATCAACCAGGTTAGAGGATAATGCCTCATAGCGCTGTTCATCTGAATGACTTTGATTGTTTTACCGCTTCTTACTCATGTGGCAGTTGTTGCTGACCCATATGCCCCCAAAAAGTCACCAACAGTCCTTTCCGCTTCACTTCCCTGCAGGCCTTTGACATGCAGAGGGACCTGCAGATAACGCCCCGCAGGCTGGAGTACACCCGTGAGAAAGAGGGTGAGCTGTTCACCTCCCTTATGGCCATCGCTAACCGCAAACAGGAAGAGATGAAGGAGATGATTGTGGAGACGCTCAGCAGCATGAAAGAGCAGTTGCTAGAGGACGCTGCCAACCTGGAGTTTACAGGTTAGTGAGTAAACAACCTGCATGAATGCCACAAGGCAGACAAGCTTTGAAATTCATTTTCAGATATTTTATGATAAAACAGTTGGTGTATGTAAAATAAAATGAATGAATTTGCTCATAGATTTTAACTTGTTTTCATAAAGGCATGAATTATTACATGTTAACAGACCAGAGCCATTATTTGATCATAACAGACTTAACAATCCTGATAAGAGCTTTAAGAAGATCAGCAGAGTGATGATAAAGAAATCTGATCAGGCTAGTTTATATCAAAACAGTAGTTCTGATGTCATTAAATCAAGTCCAGGCCAATATTAACATAAAAGCAGCAAAAACAAAAGTACTGTAAAACTCATGTTTTATAGTGTGAAGAACAAACAGTGGTTTGACCAAGTATCACTGCTGATCTGTTAAACACATAATTCTTATTATGTGCATTGGGACCTCTCTGTCTGGCTGTCTGGGTTCTTCCACTTTCAGTTCGTCTTATTTGTGATGATGTGGTATATACAAGCTAATAAATTACTAATTAATTTGCAAGCTTGTGATACGAGTTGATTTTGTAGGGACACCACCAGTAGTTAGTTTATCACGTGCTGTGGTATTAATGTGTGGTGTGTGGTCAGCAAAGATGATTTATGATTTTCTGTGGCGTTGTGTCTCCTGCTGTCAGCAAATGGATCAAGTTACATGTTGTTAAGAGGCCACAGTGTTTATGATTGCAAATTAATTTATGATTGTGGGTTTTGAGTCAGTCCAGAAGTGGAGACTGACTTTACTGTGAAAAAGTTTATTTCCTCTCCAGACAAAAGTCACACTTTGAAGATCTTATTAACATTTTATACCTTTTTTTTCCCCTAAAAAACTGTTAGCATGGCATGCGCTTTGATACTTATTGTGTTAAATTTGGCCCCTATTTTCTATAATTATAGCAGTTCCACAGATCATATTTCCTGCTCTTGAGATATACTAAATTATGAGCTAAGAACCTTCTGCAAAAAGGACGTGTTGTATATAAAATTGGAAGCATATTCCCCAGTTACATATTTTAAATTTAGATTCTTGGAAGCTGGAAATTTGATTCAGTGGTTTCACATTTGATTACTCAACAAAGACCACACATGGGCCTTATTTATTTTGCTCTCACAAGTTAATAAGAAAGGATTCCTTCTTTATTATGTGTCTATTAAAGAAGATGGTTGACTCGTGGTACCCACACTGCAGCTTATTCCAATAATTTTCATTGTATCGTTTTCTCTTACATTTATGATAGACTAGATGAGGAGCTGATTTGCCTTTATCTGCCACAGTTACTCAAAGCCTGTTTCTTTCAGCTGTAAACGCTAGTTGGACCTGCAGAGACATGGCCGAGCCAGCTGCATTTCACAGTTTGACTCTGTCTTACTCAACCTTTTAAAAAAAAAAAAAAAAAAAAAAAAAAAAAAAAAAAAAAAAAGCCTCTCATTGGCTATTGGTTATTGGTTCTTCTTCTTCTTCTTCTTTTTCTTTTTCTTCTTCTTCTTCTTCTTCTTCTTCTTCTTCTTCTTCCTTCTTCCTTCTTCCTTCTTCTTCTTCTTCCTTCTTCTTCTTCTTCTTCCTTCTTCTTCTTCTTCTTCTTCTTCTTCGTTTCATCTTTGTCTTTGTCTTCTTCCGGTCTCTCCTCCTGCTCATGCTCCAAGAAGCAGGTTAACTGAGTTATTTGAATAAACTTATCTAGAATCACAGTGGGTTCAAACAATTGGGTTTTTTCCTTCTCTGGCACAGTTCAAACAAAGTGTGGACATAATTCTTGCAGTGTGAGACCAGCTCTGACATAAAGAAATAAAAGGTGCCCTGTGGATTTCCACTGAAAGTAAAAAGTTTCTTTTTACATTCAGTGTTTTCAGTGTTACTCACCAAAATATCTGTGTGTATGTCTGACGTTACGAAACGTGTTAAATGTATTTCCTTCTACATAAAATATGTACAATTTATTTTGTTGGAGCATCATTGTGTTTCTCTGCACTTTTCTGCCACCTTTACAACATAGGAATAGTGTGAAACCATTGGCAGGAATGTGCATCGTGTCACAAAACAAAGCTCATTAGGAATACTGGTTGTCAGAAACTCCTTATATATAACCAGTATAGTATCACAACCTGTCCACCAAACACCCTCTATCCTTTAGACCCTCAATTCACATAATGAAACCATAATGTAGTATGTGTATATTATACTTGCATGGTAGGATTTGCATTATTTGGTGTAGGTGTTTGGGATTCACACATTTCATTGAGACACATTGAATTCAAACAAAACTGTTAAATTTAACAGTTAAATATGTTTTAGCACTTTTCATTTCATTCTTTAATTGATGACCAATTTAGTATACTACTATACTAAATTGCTATATATTTTTTTCCAAAATAAGAATAGTGCTTAGTTGCTGTCTGTGTTCCCTGTGGCAGGCAAATAAATGTGTAACACAGCAGCAATTGCTACTGTCTCTCTGTGTTCTGATAATATATAATGATTTACATGTGTGAGAGGTGCTTGTTATATAAATTATACCAATGATCTTTGGCTTGATGCCTAGTCATACAAACTAAACACAACCCCACCCAGGGGACAGGACACAGCGGTTGAGGACACAACCCTCCAGAGACACTTTATGTACTCGCAGGAAGTGATCTTCATGTTCTGTCTATGAACAAACATTTGCTAAGTTTATTATAATCTATAATACTTTCCTGTGTTCAGTGATGCAGTCATGCATGATAGATACAAATACTCCGGTTGTGAAATGGCGCTTTGTTCTCATGTGTCAGCACATTTTGTTCAACATCGAGTGACTGCCTCATACCAACATCTGTCATATTAATTCAACAGGGTTTCTGTGTGCTAATCGGCAACATTCACCACATATTAACACGACAAACTATTTTCTTTCAATTGCAGACATCATTGTAACAACTAATGGAGAGCCTGTTTCATCGAAGGAGATCAAATCTTGCATCCACCAGATCCAGGAGCTGATTGTGATCCGTTTGAATCAGGCTGTGGCAAATAAGCTGATCAGCTCTGTGGACTATCTTAGGGAGAGCTTCGTAGGAACTCTGGAGCGATGCCTCAACAGTCTGGAGAAGTCGAACATCGAATCTTCTGTCCACAATATCACTTCCAATCACCTAAAACAGGTGGGCAGTAGTTTGTGAAAAACAGAAACCTTATGTAGTGTGCAGGTCAAGAAATGTAGAGTGTGCAGATGCTTTAATGTGAGAAGTATGATAACCGTATTTATTAATCGCAATTATAAGATTTGCATTTTATAATAATGATATGAATAGTAATAGGAAGGAAAAGCTGTAGACAGGAGACAGACTTGACTAATTTCAGTAATCCAGCTCCAGATGTTTAGAGAAAAATTTGTGGCTAGAATCTGAGTCAGTAACTGATAAAAGTGTTGAACATTTCAGATGACTCACCAGCTTTGTTCTCTCTCTACTATTCCTTTAACCATTTAAACCAAAGTGTTAACTAATGGAACTATTGAAGAAAAGCAACCGAAAACAAAGGAGATACATAGAGTATAGACTCTGACTTTTTAGCAGAAGAAATAATCAGAAATCAAAAATGATTTTCCAAGCAAGACAAGTGACGTTTTAGCCTCTGTTGTCTCCACTTAGCTTCAGTGTCAGAGGCCTCTAGGTGGATAAACAACATTTTCTGGTATCTTGACTTTTCTTTTCTCATCTGTCACAGTTATTAAATGCTGCCTATCATGTGGAGGTCACCTTTCACTCAGGATCTTCTGTCACACGACTCGTCTGGGAGCAAATCAAACAGGTCAGTGTCTCAAAGGTTCAGCCATAGGAGTTTTAAGATGCATGCCAAATGGTGACTTCTGAAGGGATGCTTATCATTTAACTCTGTGTCCTGCTCCTAGATTATCCACAGGATAACATTTGTGAACCCTCCGGCCATCACTCCAGAGTGGAAGAGGAAAGTGGCCCAGGACGCCATAGAAAGTCTCAGTGCTGCCAAACTGGCCCGAAGCATCTGCTCCCAGTTTAGAACCCGGCTCAACAGCTCCCATGAGGCCTTTGCAGCATCTCTGCGCCAGGTTGACTTCCTCTCTCTTCTTCGTCTGTTTTGCCTTGCCTTTAGTTCTCGCTGATGGTGTCTATCTTAAAAAAATTCCACTGCTATGAAAGTGGATGTGAGAACAGCCTCAGAGTCTATATGATTCAGTGAGGATTAGAGCTTAGAAATAACAACAATTTTCAATTTTTAATTAATTATTTCAGTTGTTTAATCAAACAAAAATCATTTTAAATTGAATATATTTGGGTTTTGGTCTTTGGTCTCTTTTTTGACATTTTTGAGTTCAGCACAGAGTATTTAGAAACGTAAGAAACTACCAGATTATACTTTCCCTCCTAAACTGCTGACAATGAAATTTAGCTGGCTACACCTGTACTTTGAGTGGACCTGCAACAGACAGTGAGAGATACTGTAGGTGGAAACGATGGGTGAAAGATGGCTTTCAGAATGGTGACCACAAAGAGAGGGTGTATGGTGCGTGTGTTCATAGGGAGATGGAGGATAGACTGGGTGACACTCATACTATACAGATATAAGGAGAAGACGGGGTGACTTCCCACCAGGTGACAGTGTAAGATGCCTAATTTGCGTAAAGCATTGGCTGATTAACATTAGCATTAGCTGTATTAGCATAGCTGTGTGTTCTCATACACATCTCTCAGCCAGATACTGGTTTTCCACTGCAGGGTTCCAACTCAACTCAACTTTACTTGACTCCACTCGCTTTTGGTATCAGGTACCTCTTTTTCCACTGCAGATAGTACCCCCTCAATGCAGCATTGTTACTATAGCGACAACGTTTCCATATTAAAAATATAGTGAAATAACTAACGGAAATGTCAGTGACTGACTGTACACATGAGCGGAGTTCAGTCGGCAAACGTCAGATTTATCGATAATGAAAAAAATTAATCACTGGTTACAGTTTAAGCAATGGACAAGCAAAAAAAAAAAAAAATCACTGAAAAGCAATCACATGAAGAACATCTGACACTGCGTTGATAAAAAATGTACAGTAAAAAGACTTTGACCAATTTGCAATAAAAATGGCGGGCCTGTTCAGAACATGCCGCCTTGCACAATGCTGGTGCATTAGTGACGATTCTCTCCGACCGCAGTGTTTCTACGTCAACTTTTGCTGTCGCCTCAGCTCGATTGGAACCTCAGTGGCGGTGTTACCAGAAAAAGTACCACGTATCAGGTATTATCCACAACTTTTGCCCGATGGAAAACCAAAAAAGGCGAGTGGAGTTGAGCTGGTACCACGCAGTGGAAAAGGGCTAAAAGAGTATGGAGGAGCTGTAGAGAAGCTCGTAAATTTACTGCCTGGTTACTGATTTGAATAAGTATGTTACTGATTCCCTGCTGATTCACCTGCATGTTTTGAAAGCTTTCACTCCTTTTCTATCAGTGGCTGGTGGGATCACTGAGGGCTGGTAACTGACCAATAAGAGCACTGGTAATTTCTCTTATCTTTTTATCAAAACACTTACAATGCCTGACAGTACCATGATATCTTCAATTACATCTCTACAGGCAGCTTCTGTTGGCTCTCACTGAGCTCGTGGTTCAGTTCAGTTCAGTCCTCTTCACTTGTATTGCCTCTCCCCCTTTTTAATCCAAATGTGCAAATAGTTGAGACTCTCGCCATGAAGTCCCTAACAAATCAGTTTCAGTTAAATTGCTCTGATGATAATCATCACATGACGGACGGTGTGGATCACATCACTGACGACATTTTCATACTCAATAATTCTTAAATTTTAATGCAGTTACAAAAAAATACAGATTAATTGTGGAAGTCTTATAGATGGGGTGATTTTGACTGATGGTTTTTAAGTTTGGGGCTTTTGATGGGCAGAAATGTCCTAATTTTATTTTGGTATTTATCTGTGAGTGTTTGGATGCAGTGCAAACAAGTCTGACAACATGACCCTAATAACATAACGTTGTCCTGTCACGTTCTTGGTGGAAATACTAGATTAACAAGTAGAGCGTCTGCGAATGATAGAGATGAAAATTCTGGCCTGTAGTCTGTCAGTATGCAGTATGATATGGAGAGGGTGTTATGAATGTGAATACAAATGTAACGTGTCAGTGTAAAGTTTGGATTATTATCAGAGGAATATAAAGGCTTCCTGGTCACACAGGAATATTAAAGCAGGATCCTTTTTCTGTCCTGGAAATGATACAGTACAATACTACGATCACACCATGATCCCCCAAAGTGCAACAATGTGATGTTAATAGTCTAATAGTGTGTGTTGAGTGGAGTATTTGTGGGCTGGTGACCACAAACCAGTTTGGGTCAAGTTTCCAGGCCCTCATTTTGTTTTGTTAAGTCTGCTACTTCACGTCAGAGACTCTGGGGTCAGCCCTGACTCCTGACTCGTCACAGCCCACTGCATGGTGCAAACTGTGTTATGTCTGGGGGTTTTTTGCTGTATTTTTTCAGCAACACAGCGTTAGATCAAACATGAGTCCATAATAAGTTAGGACATAATTCAATCCATAACAGACTAAAAAGATGAATAAAAGAGGAGAATGAGGATCAGATGTGTTCTTCACATGATTGCTTTTTCAGTGTTAAGTGTTTTTTTTTTTTTTTTGATTGGCCATAGCTAAAACTGTAACTAGTGTTAAAGTTTTTTTTTTTAATAATTTATTAATCTGACGATTAATTTTCCTCAATAAATCAATTAAGTGTTTGGTTTGTGTCACATCATAAAACATTTAGAAGTGTCCATCAGTGTCTGAGAGCCTGAAGTGTTGTCATCACATCTAATGTTTTTCCACCCAACAGGACAAAACCCAAAGATAGTCAGTTTACTAAGATATGTGAGACAAAGAAAAACATCACATTGGAAAAACTAAAACCATCAAATGTTTTGCTCTCTTACTGAAAAATCATTGGAATTCTTAATCAGTTATCAAAATAGTTTCCGATTAAATTCTCTGACGACTAGCTAATCAATTAGAAGAGTAATTGTTGCTGCTAACGTCATAGCACAGAAGATTTTCTAATGTATTTTATCACAAACAGGAATTATCTCTTGCAAACTAATTATAAGATCATATGGTGGAAGGTGTATACATTTCATCCATTACTCTTCATTGAATACTGTAATATGCAAAGTTGCCTAACAATGAAAATATGATCACATATGATGTACTATATCAAACAAAGAATTAAATAAACGTGATGAGAGTAAAACACTCCTGAAAGCTATTAAATCGCAGATATGAAGCCATCAGTATAGAAGGGATTCAGCACAGAACACAGTGTTTACATGTTAATCATTAAATAAAGTACAGTCAAACCAGCATACTTGGTGGCTCAGTCTGAAGCACAGTGTTGCGACGACTTGTGAGTGATCTCTACAGTTTGTCTGTTCTCATGTCGTCATTAAAGTTCCAGCTGTGCACAAGTCAAACAGGAGTGACTGGAACTCAACCTTGTGTAGGGAGTGTATGAAAACAGCTGCAAAGACAGGCATCCATTTTCTGACGCCCTCTGGTTTAAAAAAAAAAAAAAAAAAAAAAAAAAAAAAAAAAGTCTATCAAGGAGCAACTATGTGTTGACCCAGAACATTAAACAGTCTTGACAAATGACAACATCTCCACAGAAGTCAAAGCAGCTGGCCTCTGGTCTAAATGATGTAGTTTAAAGAAGAGAAGACAGAGTTAGATTTAACGGGATCTGATTCAAAAACAATTGGAGCCATTTATACAAAAGAGAAGGATTTTGTAAATCATTCATATTTCCCTGTATTTTGTTTGCTAAGGATAAGCAGCTCTGTAGTTTCACTGTAGAATCCTTAATGGGGACCAATAATGGCTGCTCTCAGCTCTGGCTTTTGATTGGCTGAAAGGTATAAGACACTGCCTGTACTTGTTAGTTATTTTAGTTTAAGCTATGGAGTCTGGAGGAAACAATAGACAATGTTTCATCAAAATGCCAAACATATAATTCATGCTTGCTTGTCATAGTGTTTTGTTGCCTTTTTTCCTTTTTGTATTATGACGAAAACAGTATGAACAATGTAAGGGTCACAAGTCCAAATAAAATAACTTAACAAATGAGCAGCAGTTGTTCACAGCAATTAATGCTAACCGCCAGATGTCATGTGTTGATGCTTGTAGCTGGAGGAAGGGCACACAGGGCGTCTGGAGCGCACTGAGGACCTGTGGCTGCGTGTGAGGAAGGACCACGCCCCTCGGCTGGCCCGCCTTTCATTGGAGAGCCGCTCCCTCAGGGATGTGCTGCTGCATGGTGAGTCACCACCAAATCCTTCCATTGTCAACACACACAGACAAAACTACACTCGCAGGCTGTTCACATGTTGCTACAAAAATGTACTTTTTAAAAATGTCTTTAATTTGCATCTTTTTGTGACTCCGGTACCATTAAATTTCTCATCCACACCTAAAAAATCCTCTGCATTGAATGAAAATGTGCGTCCGATATGTGTATCTGAAAGTTACAACTACTCCTTCTCCCTCATTGAAAAATAATAAATATGTGAAATATATAATTAAATATAAAAATATGATATTGTTTATTTCAAAATTGTCTCCTACTTCACTGTAAAGTTTTAAACTTGGGTTTAAGGTGAGGGAGATTTTAAGTACATGTCAATTAGAGAGAAATTGAGACAGACTCACAGTATTAAATCATCATACTAATTTACAAGGCAAATGTGCAAACTTGAACTTAGAAATACAGCCTTTTTTTTAAACTCTGCAATCATGTTCACACATTTTTTTCAACTTTGAGGTAAAAAGTGAATACATTTTCCTCTGACAGGCAAGCCAAAGCTTGGGCGAGAGCTGGGTCGGGGCCAGTACGGAGTTGTATACTTGTGTGACAGTTGGGGAGGACACTACCCATGTGCCTTAAAGTCTGTGGTGCCGCCTGACGATAAACACTGGAACGACCTGGCTTTAGAGTTTCACTACACAAGGTGAGTTAGTAACAGCGAGTGTAAGAAAAACACACACACACACACACACACACGTAACAACAGCTGCTTTGGTTTGATCTCAGCAGAAATCCTGTTTGTCTCAGTCATTTTAATTCTTTACAACAAACAGCTGCATTTTATCAACTCTCAGGTGAGCATGGGAAATTTCAAATGGCTCGAGCAGGTTGAGAATAAGCTGCATTTATCACTTTTTATTGGACATGACAGTTGTCTTGTTCTTAAGGTAAAACTCCACCCAGTTTATATAAAATAGTTTTGACTGTTGAGGCCTTGAGGCTGTTCTGTGCATAGGTCAACATGTTGTTGGAAGTGACAGTGACTCATCAATGATTGTCTGCTCTAACTTTCATAACTCTCTAAAGCTGAGCTGTGGCTATGTTGATGTGGACAAACAAGACTGACATTCATATTCTGTGGCTTCAAGATAACAAAAAGTGATTATTTTAAGATCACATAACTAAAATATTTTGTTTTCCTCCCTTCTCTCTCTGGGTGTGTGTTACTTCAGGTCCCTGCCCAAGCATGAGCGGCTTGTCGACCTGCACGGCTCTGTGATTGATCACACCTACGCAGGTGGCTCGAGCATCGCCGTGCTGCTCATCATGGAGCGGCTCCACAGAGACCTCTACACCGGCTTGAAGGTGACTTGATAATCCAGTGAACAGAATTTTTTTTTTTTTTTGTTTTGTTTTGTTTTATTGATAAAGTATTACCATCTTCCATCTCTCACTCTGCCTCCCTTCATTTTCTCTTTCCCCTCTGTCCCGGTTCATCTGTGCCAGGCTGGTTTATCACTGAGGGAGAGACTTCAGATTGCACTGGATGTGGTGGAGGGCATTCGCTTCCTGCACAGTCAGGGTCTCCTGCACAGAGACATAAAGCTAAAAAATGTTCTGGTAAGTTCAGACCAATCACCAGTTCAGTACAGTTACAGAGTCTGTGACTGGAGGTTTTCTATGTGTAAAAACTGTAATACAACACTTCATATGATTGATTTGTAGGGATGCACCAAACATGCTTTAAATCGTCAAAATGTTTATCTTTGTCAGCCTTATTTTTATTTGCCTGTTTTTGTGAATTTACATCAACTATCAAATAAACATATAAATGTGGTCTATTGTATAAAATTCAATGAATGAATCAAAAAATAAAATGTCATGTAAACCACAGTGTTTTCTTTGTGTTTAAGGCTGGAGCCACCACATTTATTTCTTCCATCTGATTTGCAGCTTTTTTCTTTTCTACCTGATCCAATGAGCTTTCCACTCTTTCTTTTCTTCTAGTTGGACAAACAAAATAGAGCAAAGATCACTGACCTCGGCTTCTGTAAACCAGAGGCCATGATGTCTGGTAGCATTGTAGGAACTCCCATCCACATGGCTCCAGAGCTGTTTACAGGTATGATTACCGAGCAGTCACAATGTTGATAATTACATCATGAAGGAACTCCTGACCTACAACTTCAAACAGTTTAATTGGTCAGAGCTGTCTGAAAAAAACGAGCACCTTTAGCTGAACAAGGTTTATGTCACATTCTTCCTTTATTTGCTTAAAAGGATGAATGTTGCACAACCTTTAGGAATCTCTCATTATATGTTATGTAAAAGTTAAACCTAATTGTGCAGCAGTTTATCAGTGTTTTTAAGGTTTCCTCTTGTCCTGACAGGAAAGTATGATAACTCCGTCGATGTCTATGCCTTTGGGATCCTTTTCTGGTACCTCTGCACTGGCTCAGTAAAACTCCCAGAAGCCTTTGAGAAATGCTCCAGCAAGGACCAGCTTTGGAACAATGTTAAAAAAGGTAAACAACACTAAGGTCATATTCACACCTGTAGTTTGGTCCAGACCATGAAAAAACAACATACTGTACATTGTTTCCTTTGGTTCTGGTCTGGTTCATGTTCACATAGGCCAACAAACCGAAAACTGTAAACACATTACACAAATTCATCCTGCATCATTAGTGTTAAATGGAACCAAAGTGATTGGAGGCGGTTTCGGTCCAGTTGTTCAGTCCACACCTGAGTTTGATCGACAGCTTTCACACCAGCCCAAAAGAAATAAAGAAATAAATTAACCGAACGAATGACACAGCTTTGGTGTCTAATCACCCTCACAGTTGTTTGTGTTTGTATGTGTTTGTCTACCAGAGACTGACTTGTGTCCATGTTGTCTCCAGGTGCCAGACCAGAGCGGCTGTCCGGTTTCGACGAGGAGTGCTGGCAGCTGATGGAGGCCTGCTGGAACGGAGACCCCTCCCAGAGGCCCCTGCTTGGTATTGTGGAGCCCAGCCTGCAAAGCATCATGGTCCGACTCTGCAACTGCGGCTCCGAACAGAAAAGCAGCAGCCTCGAGGACTCAAACTGAAAACACTCCAGACAAACTAACACGTGTGATAGGGATTGTGATCAGAGAAGTATTTTTGTTGTATTTATGAAGAGCTGAAAAGAGAACTTCTGAAGAACAGGCGACCGATAAAAAAGTGTCCTCCTTGTTCACAGTTGTTGAATTTACATTATTTATGAGGAGTTGATACAGACCAGAAGTTTGCAAATATGTGTGTTTTATTGTTTGTCCTGTGTGTATTTGTATACAAACTCTACAATACGCTTTTGTCGTAGCTGCAATGCTAATCGCTACTTGGTCATAGAATTGTAACTAGATGCAAACTGTTTTAAAAAGTAGTCCATTCCCAGTATTATGAAAAAATATAAATATATAAAAGATTGATTTTTAGATTGTATTTAAACTGAACATTTCTGCATCTATACAATACATTTTTTTTAATAAAATGATCTGTTACAACAAATGACATTAGCTATCGTTGGGTTATTTCTGCATTTGTCTGAGGTAAGAAAGTTTTAACAATGCTGTGTCGATCTGTGACACCTTAAGATGAAGCGGTGTCTTCTCACAGCTCTTCTTCACTGGATGTACATGCCAACTGGTCTAACCCACATGGAGGTAGATTTGTTTTAATATTGATGTGTAGTGTTGATATTTCTTTGTTAAGAAATGACATATTGCAATTTTATTGTTTGTTAATATGTAGGCTAAGCTAATGTTAACTACTAAACCGGCACCTGTTCCCATGGCAACATTAAAACATTCATGTTGCAGACTATGGGAATGAAAGCAGGGTGCTGGATTTTTTTACACTGTGATGATGATTAAGATTGTAAATAGACCACATTTCATACCTATCCAACCTGTAAAGAGATAACTGGTGTCATTTCTTTACCATTGAATTTATGGTATTCATTCAGTCCAGTTGTGAGACAAACATTGAGACAAATCTACCTCTATATAAATACCATTCATAGTTTTTACACAGTGACAGTTCAAGTTTCATGAACATTTCCGGACCTTTGCAGATTTTTACATTAGTTTATATGTGGCAGAATGTTCACAGAGTGGACAGAAGCTGTTCAACTCCTCTGAAAGATTTCTGTTGAACTTGTCCTCACAGCCACAAAGTTTCCAATAACACTAAATACTGCATATTACAGTGGATTTTTGAGTCATTTATGCTTTAGTAAAACAAGCAGCTGCCACTGCCCCAGCCAGTCAAGCAAGTGACAAGGAAGTGATGTCCTAACTGATGACCTGCCTAGATGAGAGGACTGACGGATTGCAATTTTCATTTTCATTTTGACCCTAAAAGAGCGTAGTGACATGTAAATGTAAATGCAATGGACTATGGGCACTGTTTGCTTGTTGTATTTGAATATTATCACTGTCAATATACATAAAAAGCATGTTGTTTTAATAAAGTTGCATTTTACTATGAATATTTCATATATGTTATAAACATATCTTCATATATACAGAGGATGAATATATGTCATAATAATGTATCCTCTTGTAGATAAGACATATAATAAAAGTCATATATCATGTCATAGTACAATAAGGCATAAAATGTCGTAAAACGTCATAGTATAGTAAGGCATAAAAATAGCAAAATACGTCATAGTATAGTAAGGCATAAAATGTCATAAAAACAGCATAGTATAGTAAGGCATAAAATGTCATAAAACGTAATAGTATAGTACGGCATAAATACATAATTTTATACTGAGGCATAAAATGTCATAAAACGTCATAGTATAGTAAGGCATAAAAATGTCATAAAACATCATAGTATAGTAAGGCATAAAAAAGTCAAAATATGTCATAGTATAGTAAGGCATAAAAACGTCAAAATACGTCATAGTATAGTAAGGCATAAAATGTCATAAAACGTCATAGTATAGTAAGGCATAAAAACACGTAAAATCACGCTCATAGGTGTATAGTAAGGGGCATAAAACCGTCAAACCATACGTCATATTGTATATGTAAGGCATAAAAAGTCAAAATGACGGTCTTTAGTATAGGTAAGCGCACTTAAAAAAGTCAAAATACGTCAATAGTATCCAAAAGTCAAAATAAACCGTCATAGTAATGAAGGCAATAAAACGTCTATAAACGTAATGTATCGTAAGGCATAAATAGTAATACATATAATTAAGCAGTGAACTCAAAAGTATATAGTAAGGCATAAAAACTTCAAAATACGTATAGTAATAGTAAGGCATAAAACGCTCAAAATATGTATAGTATGTAAGGCATTAAAAAAGTAAATACGTCAATAGTTAGTAAGGCAAGAAACGTCAAAATACGTCATAGTATATGTAAGTTGCAATTAAAAAGTCAAAATACGTCACGTATAGTAAGCATAAACGTCATAAGTATAGTAAGAGCAATAAATGTCATAGAAACGTCATTATTGTAATAACGTCCAATAGTTAGTAATGAGCATAAAACGTCAAAATATGTCATAGTATAGTAGGGCATAAAAGCATAGTCAAAAGTAAGCGTAAAACGTCAAATATGTCATAGTATGGTAAGGCATTAAAAAAAGTCAAATACGTCATAGTATAGTAAGGCAATAAAACGTGCATGAATTAAGTAAAGGATAAAAAATGCATAAGGCATATATAGTAATAAAAACGTGCAAAATACGTCATTAGTATAGTAAGGCATAAAATGTCAAAATATGTCATAGTATTAGTAAGAGCATAAAAACGTCAAAAACTACTCATAGTAGGTAGTAAGGCATGAACGTAAAAAACATGTCATGTATAGTAAGGTCGTAAATAACAAAACGTTCTAAATAAACAAAAATAATTAACAAAGTGGCCGTCCCAGTATTAAAAAAATGGGTCATATAAACGTCATAGTATAGTAGGCTTATTAAAATATGTACATAACGTAATAGTAGTAGGTAGGCATTAAAGATACTAATTACACTGGAGGCATATATTAGTAAGAGTTCAAATAGTAGCAAAAATTATAAATACGTTCATAGTATTAGTAAGGCATAAAAAGTCGATAAGTGTCAGTATAGTAAGGCATAAAATACGTCATAAATCGTCAATAGGAGTATAGTAAGGCATACGTCAAAATGTGCATAAAACGTATAGTATGACAGCATAAGAATGTCAAATGAATGTCATAAAGGTATTAATTAAAAAGTATAGTACATGTGCAGTAACTAGTCATAAAAGTCATAGTTAGTTAAGAGCATTAAAAAGCTCAAAATAACGTCATAGTATAGTGGTAAAAAGCAGTATAAACGTCATAGTAATAGTAAGGCATAAAATGTCATAGACGACATAGTATATGTGGGCATAAATAAATTTTTACTTGGCGATCAAACATAATACTTTGTCAGTAGTAATGTTAACGGCATAAAAAAGTCATAAATACCGGTATAGTATAGTAAGGGACTTAAAAAGTTCAAAATATGATCTGTGCAAGCTAAGTAAGGCATAAAAACAGCAAATACGTCCACTAGTGAAGTACGGTTTATAAAGATTCATAAAACGTGTTCATAGTATGATTCGTAAGGCTATAAAAAGTCAAATACGTCATTTGTATAGTAAGGCATAAAACTAACGTACGAAGTCTAAATGATAACGTCATATATGTAGTAAGGCATAAAAACGTCAAAATGGCGTCTAGTTATAGTAAGGCATTAAACAGTCAAAATACGTGCATAGTAATAGTAGGCATGAAACGTGGTCATACGTATAGTATATGGCTAAAATGCTAACGTATAGCTATAAAACAAATGTCTAGTAAACGGCATAGTGTATAGTAAGGGCATAAAAACGTCAATAAGTCATAGTAAAGGCATAAAAACCTCAAAATACATCATACGTATAATGAAGGCCAAAAAAAAAAATTGATGGGTTCATATAAACGTCAATAGATAAAATGTCATAATCGCATAGTAATAATGTGATAAAACGATCATAGTATAGTTAAAGTGCATAAAAATGTCATATACGATCATAGTATAAGTAAGGCATAAAACGATCCAATACGTATAAGTTTAAGGTATTAAATGTCATAAAACGTCATTAGTAAGTAGTCATAACTCAATAGTCATATAGTAGGCATAAAAACGTCAAAAATTATAAGAGGACGTCAATACGTCATAGTATAGGTAGGCATAAAAACGTCAAAATACGGTCATAAAGTATAGTAAGGCATAAAAAGTCATACAAATGCGTATTAAGTAAGGCATAAAAACGTCAAAATAACGTCATAGTAAGTAAGGCATAAATGTCATAAAGTATAGTAAAGCTGGCATCAGAACTAAGTCATAACATTTCATAGTATAGTAAGGGCATAAATGTCATAAAACGCGTCATAAGTATTGTACGGCATATTGGATGATAGGTTCATTTATAGACCTTTTTAAGGTCCAGCTAAGTTGGCTATCCTGGAGCGTTGAGAGTTAACAATAGGTAGAGATGGACATTGGGGGTCATAAAGCCTAATCCTGACCAAACTTGTACGTTAGACATCTATCGATCGAGATTGCGGTAATAGGCCTAGTATACCACGCGTATGCGATTTCGTAGCGTATAGTGCAAGTAGAAGTAATGTCAGCGACTAATAGAGGATCGTGAAGCGGAATATACTGACTCGGTGATGCTTACATCGTCGCAAGGGGAGAAGTCAATCTCATGAGTATTACAATGGGCATAACAGAAAATGTCGAAACTGAAGTTAGTCATATGTAAATATAGTGCGTCAATTGAAAGCAGAAAAAAGGCAAGTTAGGGCGAGGTGGTTAGGGTGATCGACTGAGGCGGAGACTCAAGGTTTGATGGGAGAGGAATGCAGATAGGGACGCGGTTGGGTTATTCACACAGAGTTCAATACTCGTTCACTATATGATGCGTGGGTATACGTGTATATATATCGGCGTGCAAGTCAGCACCGCTAGGAAACTGAGAGTTGTTGGAATAGTAGCCGCTTGTTCATAGATATGAACAGTGAACAGCAATCATAAGAAATGTATACGTAATACTCGAAGCGTGAGCATGAGGAAAACCAGTCGCGAAAGGCCACGGGCGTCATGCTCGAGCTAGACTTGCAGAGACATAACTACCTAACGTGAGTTTCGGTGACCCATTTGGGGCTGGATTCAAGAATCGTCATAGTGTATTAATCTCGAGGAAAACCTCAGAAATAATGTAGAGAGGTCTGGGTATTAAGTCAGCCAGAGAGACGTCATCGTACAGCGGAGGATCTTAAATGGTCTAAACGATCTATAGTATAGGTAAGGGCATAGAAAACGTAAAATATGAGATGACTCAGTAGGTTAATCGTTACCGAATGGGCAGGTTAAGCGGATGTCCTTATGGGACAGATGATGGGAGGAAGGATCTGACAAGGTGGTTATGGAGGATATGACGCATGTAAAGCGTTGTGACTTTAAGGTAGAGGAGAAGAGATGCGAGTCCAACTTGAGACGCTACCGAAACGGGCAGGGCCAGTACGTAGTTAAGGGGTGTCTATGGGGCAACTGAGGCAAGGCCATGAATTACCAATTTACCTCTCAGACTGATCAAACTTGTGGAACACTGATTTGCGAGCCGGTTCTAAGCTGTTCTGGCCTTATCAAGAAAAGCCGCTGTATGCTGAGGTAAGACGTGCATAGGGATGGGGCACAGCACAACTGGGTATCAAGGATATGCTCATTTTATAGGCGGGACTTGAACCCTCTCAAAAAATGCACAGAGACGTGCATGAGTATAGTAAGTTTCATGAAACCTCAAAATACGTATAGTATAAGTAAGGCATAAC